GGTTTTGCCGTGAGAGAAGAATCAGTTTGGCTACACATATACTGTTTCACCGCTGTTTTATTTGAAAAACTAAAAAAGATAGGCCTTATTCAAAAATTGCATAAACTTAGTTTAGGCGCGAAATTCAAAAATCGAATTTTTGCACATACTGTTTTAACTTTGCAGGCAAGTAGTTGGGTTTAGGTTTCAGTTGTGGCGCTTAGTTTTAATTTCTGTAAATAGTATTTATAAGGGCTTAATGTAAAGGTTTTCTTAACGCCATAAAGTTGAGGTAGTCGTCCTTCGAGTTATTCGAGTTATTAAAGTTTTTAAATTTGAATCCGTTATGTTTAATTCCTATAAATATTGTTTTTCGTAAAACTAATCAGTCGAAAAACAACGACCATGGAAGATATAGGGTGATGTGGACGTGGATTGGTAGTTTTGAATTTCAAGAATTGACACAATTCAATAAAAATATAATATTAGGGCTATATTGTGTTTTGTTCACATTTATTAAACTATATATTTTTGGGTGAAAAAAGCAGTGGTTAATTAAATAAGATATGGTATTAGGATTTAGCACTTTTTTTGATAATGTAGCACATATAACAAAAAAATTGTATTATGTAGGATCTAAAATATCTGCAGCATTTCTAGAATATAAAAATATAACTACTTATTAATTGACAAAAATTGACTTTAAATGAAAACAATATTAAACAATGAAATAATTTTAGTCACGCTATCATATTATATAATTCGTTTATTCGAAAATGATCATATATAATAAGAACCATTACATTTTTTTACCTGGTATTGAAAAACCTTGAGATAGTTAGACAATAAAATTCAAAGATCCTGTGGGTATCAATTAGAACCAGACAGTTGTTTTTCAGTTTCCATATAGTACCTACATAGTTGTCCAACAATATGCATATGGGTGAGACAGTGCTTCATTTAAACAGAACCCAATATTAGTATATCGCTTATCCGGTAAAACAAGTGCATATTTTAAATTGTTTTTTTTTAATGCACCAGAATTGATAAAATGTAACCCAACCGCGAGATTTTCTAATTGGTGCTGTGAAGAAAACATCCTATTTGACGATTAAGATAAGATAGTAAATTAACAACCAAAATGTCTGTTTCACCATTGTTGTCATTCACACATTTTAGGTATTCCTAATTATTTGATAATTCTGGGGGAACAATGACGTAACTAAAGGTGACTTTAAAAGAAAAGTGTAAATTTGCCATTTTCAACTAAAAAAAAACAATTTTGGTTTGCAGTAATAAATCTCCCCAATATATAGTTTTATTTTAAAAAACATTAAAACAAAACGTTCTTAAAACTTAGTACTTTGCACTTAGATCGATATTCCACTCAAGAATCGATATTCATAAAAATGTAACGGGATCTTTATTACAGTATAGTGCTTATTTAGTGCTTTATTTTGTTTTATACAGGGTGTTTTAAAATATCAGATACATACTGAAAGAGGTAATTCTTCTGCTTATTTTATGGTAAAAATCTGATGTTTCCAACACATGACTTTCCTATCTAGTTATTACAGGCTTTTTTCGGTTATTTTGTACAACCTATTGTAGCACCTCTGCAAATATTTAGAGGTTAACTTAATATATACATTTTCCACATACATCTAACTCGAAATATTTTTCTATATACACTCATTGCCAACGAAAATGCTGAAAAATTTAAATTTTATACTTATCCACCAATTTTTCCATTACGGTCCATTTTAGAGAAATTATGTAAAAAAACAAAAATTATAGAGATCGATATCGCAAAAGGCAACAGGTAGATCAGCTGAACATTCGAGTAGATCTCTTAGCACGACAACAAGATAAATAAAAAAATAATAAAGAACAACAGCAAGAGAATCTAATAATTATTTTTGAGAATTTGAAAAAGAATTTAGAACAGCAGCAAGAGAAATTAAAAACCAATTTAGAGCAACAAGAGAATTTAGAAGCTAATTTAGAGCAACAACAAGAAAAGGCTAGAATAGAGTTCGAAAGGCAAATCTGAACTAATTTAGAAAGAAGAATTCATAGCCAAGCTTCGGTACGCAACATTAAAGATGAAAACGCTACCTCGTCTTCGTCTATAACCAATCGAAGCCACATTCGAACCCCAGTTTTACAAAACCATATCAGCAAGATATTTAAAGTTCCCATGTTTGACAGTCAGACAAGATGGGAAGCGTATCGACTTCAATTTGAAGCTGTAGCTAGAGCCAATGGCAACCATTTACAATTACTTCCCCATGTGGAACCCAATTATTCGTCTCTCGTCGAAGCTTTGAAGACAAGATATGGCCAGCAGCATTTAAAATAGATATTTCAAAGCCAACTTAAGGTTCGTAGTCAGACACACATTGAAAATCTATAGGAATTCGAGGCCGATTTAAAAAAAATGCTACATCTGACCTATCCACAAGCGCCCAAAGATTTCCTAGAATAAATCGACATGCAAGCATTTATTGATAGACTACAGGATGTGAAAATGCAGTAAGCTGTTCAGCTACAACACCACAAGATGCTGAGTGAGACACTGAATACGAAGCAACAAAAATCATATTTAGAACTTTTCACGCGAAACTGAAAGAAACTAGATTCGAAGAGAGTAAAGATGTCACTATTGGTCTCTAATATCCTCCAAACTATGCAACGAAATAGCCAAAATGTGGTAACATATTCATTCTGTAGTTTCTGCAGAAAATAAGTATGAATATCATGAACTAGTTTGACTTAGGCTTTCGCATCCCAAACAAAAGCATTTAGCTAATGTGGTTTGTAGATAATGCGTTACCTTTTCAAACAAGATGTCATGGATTCAAGTCTCGGTAAATTAATTTTTTGTTTTTTTTTTATTATACATAAGTACTATTTGTTTAATTTCATTATAATAATATTCACAATTTTAGTCTAGTTGGTCTTAATTTTATATTATTTATTTATTATATGGTCTAAATATGTCTTATATTAACATTGGTCAGTAAATAGTAAAAGAAAAATACCTGTAAATAATGTTCATGTTAAGTTAAATCTTTGTTCCGCTGGAAGCATTTCAATTTGCAATTTTTTTAATCAAATCAAATTTTACAAAGGTGGCTCCATAGAAATACCACAGATTTAAACCTATACGTACATATTTTTCACCAGAAGCTTGCTTGGCTATAGGTAATTATTTCATAAAGTTGCGTACAGTACAGATCTCGCCAATGAAGGTAAACAAACGACATTCGCTCTTGGTCCTAAGCATTAGTTTGCCATCGTTAATGTGTACATTGTAACATGATACTTGTTATTTTATCTATTTTTTATAGTGTTTTAAGCTCTAATGTTTTTGGGAGTGGGTCAGGTTATTAAATAAATAATAGTAATAATTTTGGGCGCCACTATATTTAAAACTTACTAAACTTGACTATCGATTAGTGATAAAAATATAGAAAATCACTAACCATTAAGATATTATAATTAAACAAAGTTTTAGATAAGGTAGCAACAAATTATAATTCACAGAGACTTACTTATTCAAATTTAGATGATTTATTTACAATTGACTTATCTGTGGTACAAGAGGTAGCATATAAGGAGTGACTTGTAGAGGCCTTCTTCGAAGGGACTCGAAACGATACTCTTCGGATAGTACAAATCTTCACAAACTTCTTCAGATGGAACTCGAACCAAACCTCTTGACACAATTCAAAATAAACCTCCTTAGATGCAGCTTGAACTAAACTTCTTAATAGACATCACCATAAACAGTATAGATATATCTTAAATCAATCTTCTGAACTATGACACGAAATGAACTTCTTCGATACAGCCTGAACTGAACTTCTAAAACTTCTATATTTCTATATTTCTATACTTGTATACTTCTATAACTTCTATAACTTCTATAACTTCTATACCTTCTATAACTTCTACAACTTCTACAACTTCTACAACTTCTACAACTTCTATAACTTCTATAACTTCTATAACTTCTATAACTTCTATAACTTCTATAACTTCTATAACTTCTATAACTTCTATAACTTCTATAACTTCTATAACTTCTATAACTTCTATAACTTCTATAACTTCTATAACTTCTATAACTTCTATAACTTCTATAACTTCTATAACTTCTATAACTTCTATAACTTCTATAACTTCTATAACTTCTATAACTTCTATAACTTCTATAACTTCTATAACTTCTATAACTTCTATAACTTCTATAACTTCTATAACTTCTATAACTTCTATAACTTCTATAACTTCTATAACTTCTATAACTTCTATAACTTCTATAACTTCTATAACTTCTATAACTTCTATAACTTCTATAACTTCTATAACTTCTATAACTTCTATAACTTCTATAACTTCTATAACTTCTATAACTTCTATAACTTCTATAACTTCTATAACTTCTATAACTTCTATAACTTCTATAACTTCTATAACTTCTATAACTTCTATAACTTCTATAACTTCTATAACTTCTATAACTTCTATAACTTCTATAACTTCTATAACTTCTATAACTTCTATAACTTCTATAACTTCTATAACTTCTATAACTTCTATAACTAACTTATATTTTGGGTCTAAATAACGAAAACGATTCCAACCGTTACAACATTTGCATTTGTCGTTCGATCAAACGTTCGTTGGGGCAAGTATCCGGATGTTTATTTTGATATGATACCTACACGAAACAATGGTTCAATTTGTTCGTTGTTACTTGTATGGACATCCGTCCACATTTTATTCGCTCGAATCGCCCAATTCCTTTGATGTTAGCGCTACGATCTGGCTGGTCGGCAAACGCCAGCGAGTCTTCATTGGTATTCGCTAAATCGTCTTTGCCGCGCCAACTATATTATTGATTGTCGCACTCGGCTTATGTCTCATGCGACAATATATCCCACTCGTGTGAAAAATGTTACTTTCCATAAACAATTATTTATGATTTTAAAACTTTAATTTGTATATTTCAGGAAGAGTGGTAAAACTATTTGACAACATGACTTCTCTAGAACGACTAATAGCTTGTCTCTCGGAATTTGGAGGTACAGCCTTCTTGGTATTCATCGGTTGTCTAGGATGTACTATCGGAGCTCCTCTTGAACAAATCGCGTTCACTTTTGGTTTCGCCATCATGATTGGAGTACAGGTATACATCAAATTTTAAATCAAAAACTAAATGAAATATCTACAGGTTACTATTTAATATTTTTCACCCAATTTTTGTTTTTAGTGTTTTGGGCATATTTCTGGTGCGCACATCAACCCGGCAGTAACTGTAGCTGCAGCGACACTAGGTCATTTTCCACTGATAAATATTCCTATCTACATATCTGGTCAGATACTTGGAGCTCTTACGGGTTTTGGACTAGTAAAGGTAAGTGGAATAGAATGACGTGTAGTAAGATTTAGTGTTTTCTTTGCATATAGACTTCTGGTCTGATTGCTGCTTTATAGATACTCATTCCCTCAAATTATATTTCCTCCTTCAGCGTTCTATTCCTTTTTTTTTCAGTTATATATTTCTGATCTGAAGAGTCCCCATCTACTTCTTTTAACTAGTTCGATATATTACTAATTTTATTTTTCTCTTCCTTAATTATCTCGTTTTATGGGCCAAACTTTTGTTATTACTTTCTGTAAGTTATAATTATAATTTCAGCTTTTCTTACTAATCGTTATCAAATTTATTTTTATCGTCAATTTTTACATCTTAAGATTTATTGATGTTTCTTATATTAATTAAGGTATGTTCTTAAGAAAGTTACCATACATGCATTGTGAAGAATTTCACTACATCGACTGGTAGCAACATGGGAGGACTTCCAATCAAACGTCATCAATAGGGATAGTGTACTACCTCTATTTTTTTGGTCCGCCCAGTTTTAGTGAAAAAACATTAATATTAACTGAATTGACAATTTTTATAACTATCCACCACAATTTTTTAATCCTTTACTCAATACTAATGTCTCCACTTTATATTAATTTAGTTTGGTATTTATTCTTAATTTTAACATTTAAATTTAAAATGTCCTACACCAACGCAATAATTTTGTGAAATCGTTCCCAAATCATAGGTTTGCACATAAACTTATAAGATAAAACGAACTTACCTTAAGTGAAGTTCGGTCTTGATTATTAACTGCGCTCCCTTCGAAGATGATAAGTAATCCCCCAGGGAGGAGTACTATCACCCCTCCTCTGGTCAGTCCTAGTGGAAGAACTTATAAAAAGGGTATCATCTGCAGATTTTTACTGCCTAGGGTATGCCGATGACCTGGCGATCGTCGTAAGAGGCAAGTTCGCAGGTACAATATCGGAGCGCACACAAACCGCTTTAAACATTGTCGACGAGTGGTACAGAGAGGAGGAACTAACAGTAAACCCTCACAAAACCACAATAGTCAACTTTACAAAACGAAAAGTACCAACAGGACTAAAGTCACCAGTACTGAAAGGAGTGAAGGTTCCATTTGCTCAAGAGGCCAAATACTTGGGAGTCATCTTTGACCACAGGTTAACATGGAATCAACACTTGCAAAAAATCACCCAAAAGAGCACAACGTCCTTTAACTTATGTCGAAGGTTGTGTGGAAAAAATTGGGGATTACAACCAAAAATGTCCCTGTGGTTATATACCAGAGTCATAAGGCCGATGATAACCTACGGGTCGGTGGTATGGTGGCCAAAGACTCGGCAAGCTGGAGCCATTCGACAGCTCAATGGTATTCAAAGGCAAGCATGTCTGCGTACCACGGGAGCTATGAGAACGACTCCAACAGCAGCTATAGAAGTCATGCTAAACCTAAAACCACTACATATATTTATTCAAGACGAAGCCAGGTCTGTCACATACAGACTGCACAAAGGTTCATCGCCCATAAGCAGTTTGCATGGACGCGACTACAGCGAGCTATATAAAGAGTTGGAGAACGACCAAATAATGGGAATGCCTTCAGACGAAATGCTTCCAAAGTATAGCTTTCAAAAGCAATATAAAGTAAGTATACCAGACAGGGAAGCGTGGACGGGAGGACCTCCTATTCATGCAGATCTCACCTGGTATACAGACGGCTCCAAAACACATGAAGGTTCAGGAGTAGGTATATATAGTACCAAGCCAAAGACAGGAATCTCACTGAGCTTAGGTAAACATGCGACAGTATTCCAGGCAGAAATAGCAGCAATACATCACTGCGCAAAAGAAGTATTAAGACAGAAGGTAAATGGAAAAACAATTGTCATATACTCAGACAGTCAAGCGACGTTAAAAGCACTCAGTTCCGTGCAGGTACTCTCAAAGCTTGTGTGGGACTGTTTGGAAGCCCTAACAGAGCTGGGTAGTCAAAACAGACTAACCTTAACCTGGGTACAAAGCCACAGGGGACACAAGGGCAATGAAGAGGCTGATTTACTAGCCCGATAAGGAGCCTTAAATACTCTTATTGGCTCAGAACCCTTCTGTGGTGTAACAGAAACAACTATCAGAACATGCACAAAGCATTGGATGTTTAAAAAATCTCAGGAGTTGTGGAAAAACTCACCAAGACAGAGACAGGCCAAAAAGTTCTTAAAAGGACTATCGTCTAAACTCACCGAGCATTTACTAAGCCTTAATAGGAAAAATACTAGAATACTAGTAGGTCTATTAACAGGGCATTGTAGGCTTAACAAACATATGTTCAATATCGGTCTGACAGAAGAGGCCTTGTGCCGATTCTGTCAAGAAGAAGGGGAAACAGCAGAATACGTATTGTGTTACTGCGAAGGTCTAGTAAGACTGAGATTCCTTACACTTGGAGAAGAAAAACCAAGGGCAACTAGCTATACCGGAGAACTACTTCCCAGTCTATGGAGTCTACTACAAAAGACCGAATTAGACAAGGTACTCTAAACAATGATTAAAGGATATCCACAATAGATCTGAAAAGGTCCAGGTGGGGGAGGCCACATGGCCCATAGTCCTAATTAAATCCTAATCTTAATCTTTAGTGAAAATACATTAATAATAATTGAATTGACAATTTTTATAACTATCCACCACAATTTTTGTAATCCTTTACTCAATACTAATGTCTCCACTTTATATTAATTTAGTTTGGTATTTATTCTTAATTTTAACATTTAAATTTAAAATGTCCTACAATAACGCAATAATTTTATGAAATCGTTCCCATATCATAGGTTTGAACATAAACTTATAAGATAAAATGAACTTACCTTAAGGGAAGTTCTATCTTGATTATACAATGTGCTCCCTTCGAAGATGATACGTAAACGTAGTAATCATTTATGAGCTAGTTGTGCACTATAGTTCAAAGCCAAAAACTGATAACTCTCTATGTAGTTCCCGCGCTCTGTGGGCGTGGCTGTCACTTCTTTAAACTGTGATAATCTGGGATTCACAGGGCTGGATTGAGGAGATCCTCTTCGAAGGGAGCGCTGTGTATAATCAAGATCGAACTTCACTTAAGGTAAGTTCGTTTAATCTTATAATTATACACTGCGCTCCCTTCTTCAGATGATAAGTAAACGAAGATGTTTAAAGGGAGTTGCGACTGTTATGTTTCTTAGTTTCTAACTTAGACTAGACACAGTATGTTATTTATTTTAGTAGTTTGGTTTCACCCTTTATATTTATTATTCCAATGTTATGTCACTATGGCAGGCTGGGAATTTGTCAACGTTTGCAATATTTTTCACAGTTCAAAATAAAAAATTAGAAGTACGGAGATATTTTTTAGCGACCACAATAAACAACACAATTTTCAATAAATCTCTATTGAAATGTTTACAACTGTGACAAAAACAAAGGAAAGTTTAACTATAAAAAACTAAATAAGAATGGTCTCAGCAAAAGAACTGGGATCCTGCCTTATAGACCGATTATAAAACTTAGCGAAACATTTAGATTCCCTTCACCAACCTGCTGTGGACCTAATAATATCTAAGTTCAGTCCTTTGTTTACCGCTGCTAAAGTCGCAACATGTCTCATAATGTGAGCATGAAAGATGTTCGTATAAATCCCGCATTTTTTGTGTTCGCTTTACTCAACGACTTAAGGTCTGAGCGGAGACTGAATTAAAAGGTTTTCTATAAGATATAAAAAGGTTTTTTACAGATTCTCCTCTAACGATCTTAGTTCGCTTTATGTGTGAATCTAATGTTCTCCCAGAGCAAATATTAGGATGATTCTGATCAAATAAGGGAAGAGTTAAACATGATTGGAGTCTGCTTCTACCTGATGACTTAATCTTTTCAGTAATCTTTATTGAGAAGCCATCTGGAGCTCACCAAATATTCTCCAATCTAATAAGGCTAAAGGTTTGCATTCTATGTGCAGTAACTAAAGCCAATAGTGTTACTAATTTTTCTGATAATTCCATTAGACGAAGTTCATGATTGGGACATCATTCTCTGAAGGTACTCATTACCATTAATGGTTCCAAATTAAGTCGTACCTTGGCAGAGGTATTCGGTTACTAACGCATTTAAAAAATCTTTTGACCCTAAAGTCCACAGTAATGTCCGGTGTCAAAATCAAAGAAAGTGCTGATCTGTAGTTATTTAATGTCCCGTATGTTAATCCTTCTGGAACCGTTCTTGTAAAAATTTTAAAACCTTAAAAATATCACCCGTGAAAGGGTATGTCACTTCTGACATACAAAACTTCTACCTAACTTCACCGTATATTGTTTTAAGGTAGAAGTTGAAATGGATGACAGCATATTCTCAATATTATAATATTATTGGAGTCCAGGCTCTTTAGGATGAACGCCTGTTGGATAAAAATCCTGCCACCAGGAAAGGTTTCTTGCCAGATAGTAAAAGTAAGGGATCAGGGTCGAATTTTAGCAGTTCTGAAATTAAAACACTCATAAACAAGGGCCACCAGGGTTTATTAAAAAAATATTGGATATAAATTGTTTCTTACATGGCTTACAAGGGCGGATGGCCTTAATTTCAAGTAGATGGTTTATTTCTGATAAGACCTGCTGATGTTCAATTAAAGATTTGACAGGTTCAATCGGAATCATATTTTGTATGGGTGGAGAAATAAATTTTAAGGAGTAACCTTTAATCCAAGACCTCATAAATGATCCTCTGAAATATTATTCCAGAATCTGTAATATTTACTTAGATTCCCTGCTAGAACACTTATTTTTACTTGAGAAGTCGAGCTCTGTTGTATGAATGAATCTGTTTGGATTAATGTTTCTGGGGTCTTTTCCAAGCTTTCTGTTAATGTCCCCTGGACGTGAGTACATCTGTTGTCCGGAGGAAATCCGTGAGTACTTTTGTTTTCCGGACTTAGACTCAGACCTCAGCTTTAAAACTTCACCTGAACGCTTCATAGCTTTAGCTGATTTGATTCGGTCTTCTAAGTGGTTCCCACATAGCCATTCATCTAACTTAGCCTCCCCTATTACTCTTTTAAGGTCACCCATAAATTCTAATGTAAGAAGATTTCTTCTTGTTTCCGAGTTTTGCCAATGCGTATCACATATGAGAGGGACTGCATCGCTTAGCAGTTCCATGATGATTAGTTTTCCTTCAACATCTTCCTCCCATCCAAGAAATAAGGTAAGTGCTTTACCAAGTGAGGATAGGCTAGACCAGGCCTGCACAATTCAGATTTTCAAAGGGCCAGATTTTAAAAACCGTAAGTGTACGAGGGCCGCCAAGAAGGGACTGAGTCTACAGTGGTCTCTTCAGATTTCTAAAAAAAAAACCTAAATGCTAGTTTGGTACTGACGTATGTGGTCCGCTGGTTGTATGTTGTGCGGGCCTAGGCTATACCCTAACTGGGTCTGTAAAGATTTTAATTTGTCCTCTTTTAATACTTGTGTAAGAAGCTGCTGCTTAAACTCTGGGTTGACTTTGGGTGGCTCCATTGAAGGGCAATTTAAGGGTGTAGGGTATGTGGAAATAAGTTTTGATCTAGTATCTACATCTAGTACTTACCCCAAGATTTCAAGCCATAAGGAAGCTACATCCCTTTGAATAATTTCACCAGTACTCTTTTCTATATTGTGCTCATTGCCCAATATTTGAAGAATATTCTTATTTATTTATATCTTAAATGAAAAATCAAAGTAGAACCACAAAATGTAAATAATTACAAATTCACACATAATAGGATGTAACCTCGCAATATCTCCTAATATTATCCAAACAATATGACATTATATTCTTAGCCTTTATTTATTATTTTGATGGACTGTCAAAAAACCAGCTTCTTCTTTGCCTTAGTGATTTAACAGGTCCGCACTGAACCTGGGACCCGCATTGGATCCAAGACTCGGACTGAGTCTATTTAATCCGCACTGAATTTGTTATAAACCCGTACTGGGTTCTGGGTAAAACTCTCACTGAGTTGTGGAACTACCTGGAATCACATGTAAAGTAATGTGATCTGAAAGTAATGTATGTCCAGTTTACCATCGTCTTTCTTAATTTGTAACCTAAAACAATTTAGTATCATTTTAAGCTACCTGCATCGTTCTGTTAATCTATAAATACTATCTCTGGTCCTTCTGCCAGAGAACTACAACTGGATGAACTGAATTTTCTAGATCTAGATTTTGTCTTCTGCTTCTTATGTTGGTTATTTTCTTCAGGAGAATCGCTTCCGTTGCTGTAAGATTTCTTTTTGTCTGTCGTTTTTTAGGTCTTCTCACCTCCTTCCTTAAACGACATAATTCTGAGTCGATGAATAAAAATGTTTTCCCATATTTTTTTTTTCTATTTGAGCTGTACACAATCTTGCACCAAAATGAAAAGTGACAGCCACGCCCGCAAAGCGCGGGAACTACATAGAGAGTTAGGTTATCAGTTTTTGACTTTGAACTATGGTGCACAACTAGCTCATAAATGAGAAGAAAGTGCAATGTATAATTTATTCAATCTACCTAATAATATATTAAGACTATATAGTAGATAGTTGACGCCACTTTCACTGTTTTTTCTCAAGAACTCTCCATATTTTCCTAGAAAGTAAGAACCGAACGACAAAACTGTCGGTACATGATGATAGATTACTTGGACACAGCGTCGAGCACGATATGACGTCACGGCCTCTGCCTCAGCCACCAACAATGTTGCCATTTGATACCTAGTTTGTGGGGAAATATGGAAAGTAATTACCGGTGATTCTTATGCAAAGCGACTATATCATAATTACAAATCATCATAATTTTCCCCAAATCTGGGGAAAAAACAGGAGAGTGTCGTGAACGGGCTTATCATTACTCACTATTGTACTTATTGCAGGCTTGAAAATTGCCCGCTGTTATAATTAAAATTTATATGATATAGGTTTTCGTTTTTTATTTGTTTCATATTATTATTATTATTATTATAATTATTCTGTTTTAATAAATATGTCTGTTTCAGGCTATTACTACGACAAAACTGAACAGCAGCACTTTGGGTGCATGCTCACCATCCCCTGCAGCACATCTTTCAGTATTTCAAGTATTTTTAGTCGAATTTCTACTTACTCTTATCCTCATTTGGGTATGTTGCGCTATTTGGGACAGCAGAAATAGTAATAATACGGATTCTATTTCTCTAAGACTTGGATTGACTGTAGCTGGGCTGGCAATGGCTGGTGTAAGTAACATCTTTTTTAGATTTCACATTTATTTATTAGATGTATATTGAACTATGGCTATTTGAAAAAAATGTTTTCAGATTTTCACAAATGTATAGAATAAGACAAAACAAGAATGTGTTTTACTTAATTTATTGGTTAACACAGCAAGTATTAATGAGCATTTGATCATGTGATGATGTTTTCAAGCTAGTTGAATCAAAGACATTTCCTTGCTAAGCTTGCTAGAATTTTGCTCATAAAAGCAACAATAAAGTGTAGCGAAACAATGCCAAATGTTGCAAAACCACTTACGTAACCAAAATGGTCGGTTGCGGGTTCGATCTAGTGAGAAGGAAAAAAACTCCAACGCTTAGCAAGGTTTATTGTTCTAAATGCCGTTAAACCCATAATTATTGTAATGTAAATCAGCTGCGACACTTGGTTTAATACTTTGAGAATGCACTCTTGCAATTTGGGAGATGTGTACATTTGTACTAGTTGAGGAGCCGTCGCTGAATTGTAGATCCACACGGCAGATGCTCACTAAAATTGCATTTGATTAGGCATCAAAAGTTCTGCAAGTCATATCCATCCAAAAGCAGTAGTCATTAAATCAACAACAACAAGATACAGGATTACCAATCACATGAAGATGTTTTAGAACGCAGCGTTCAGTTAAGTAACCTAAATGTAGTATGACAAGGTGGCTTATTGATAATAAAGCACGAAAGGTTATGGTGAAAAACCTTTTATTATCGGAACAAGAAACTAACATATAACTAAGAAACGAATGAACTGATATAATGTAATGAATGTTTATATTGTTTATTCGCGTATGAATAGAAGGATTGTTCTGTATGTATCCACTGAATGATCGGCTGTATTATGTGTACGTTAAAACCACGTTTGTTTGTATGTATGTGCATAGGAAGTGCGATTGTCCGAGTTAGCTACCGCCTTAGATGATCGCGCTAGGCAAACTGAAACAATATGCCGCGAACGTCACAGTACATTGTCCTAGTGGAGTACCGTCAAAAGAGGGTTTAATCCATATATCGAGATGGGAGTTTTCTGTCTCTAGTCGGGTTTCTTTTTGGTGTAGAACAAGTTACATCTAGCACGTTTTTAAACTCATGTTTAGCTACTTCTATTTCAGATGGTTCTTGGAGCAGTTCTGTATCTCTCACATCGTAAAAAATTTGGTTTGAAGTACTGGTTGATGGTTGATGGATATCGATGTCGTGCAGTTCATTTCTATTTTCATGGAGCGGCACATTTAATCTTGTATGCTTAGCATCGTTTTCATTTAGTGTTTTTTGTAAGTCAGGAGTAACATCTGATATCCGTTTTCGCATCTGGTCTGAGTGTTTACGACGAGAAATGCCGTCAATATTAACTATGTATGATAAGGATCCAGTTTGTTTAACTATTTGTCCTGGAACAGAGCCTTTTTCTAGAGCGTGATTTACCCATACTCTTTCCCCTTCCACAAAATAATGTTGAGAAGCAGCAGTGCTATCATGGTTTTGCTTTTGTATCGTCTGTTCATACTCCATATTTTTCGTAACATCAGGCTTCAGTAAGTCAAAACGTAATCTAAGATGGCGTCCAAACATTAGCTGGCTGGGTGTCCTGTTTATTGATCTCCTAATGGTGTTTCTATGCGAAAACAAAAACTCTGGAGTCTTTGACATTGATCTAATGTTTGATCACTGGCCCGCATCCTCTCCTTGAATGTACGAACGGTACGCTCGGCAAGTCCATTTGATTTTGGGTGATATGGTGTCACCTTAACATGAGTGATACCGTGTCCACTACAAAATTCTTCAAATTCATTTGAAGTGAGTTGGGGCCCATTGTCTGTAACGAGGAACTTAAGTAATCCAAAACGAGCAAATATGTCACCAAGTGCCTTTATGGTACTAGTAGATGTAATATCCATCATTGGCACAATCTCCAACCAGTGAATGTAGGAGTCAATTAAAATCAACCACATCTTCTTCTCGAGACCAAGGCGCATTTCGATCATTTTGTCTTGATTTTTGGCAAGAGTTGCATCGTTCTATTTCATGTATGATGTAAGCGTTAATGTTTGGCCAATAGAGGTGAAGTTTTGCCAAAGACTGCATAGCAGTGATTCCCGGGTGGCCATCATGTAACATCGCCAAGACTTCCTGATGTAAGGCAGTAGGAATGTAGATACGTCCTTTCCAACATAGTATATCTTCTTCAAAAGATAACTCTGATCGTTTTTCATAAAACGGTATGAGATTGTTATCAAGTTTCTTTTTATCGGGCCAATATGACTGTATATATCGAATAATTTTAAAGAAATTTGGATCTTTCAATGTTGCAGGCTTTAAAGTTTGTTTCATCGGAAGTTTCTGTATTCTTAGGTGTAGTAATCTGGCGTGGTAACTTCAGTTGCTCTGTGAGTTTTTGTAGTGGTAGCCTCGATAATGAGTCAATTTTCTTTTCCTGGACGATAAGCAACATCGAAATTGTAACTATTTAGAGTCATAGCCCACCGTAACAGTCGATTACTTGCAATTTTTGGAGTTTGACGATCTTTACCAAAAATACGCTCCAAGGGTTTATGGTCCGTAATAAGTATGAAACGACGACCATACAAGTATTGATGGAATTTCGTAACTGCGTACACAAGGCCTAATGCTTCTTTAACGATAGTAGAATAACGTTCTTCTACTTCGCTGAAAGTACGGAAAGCAAAAGAAATAGGCTTCAAAATTCCGCCAGAAAATTCATGAGAAAGTACCGCCCCTGTGCCGGCATTACTAGCATCACTGGAAACAATTAAAATCTTTCCTGGATCATAGTGGACCAATGTATCGTTTTAAGTTAAAGTTTGTTTTAGTTTTTCAAATATATGTGTGTCTTCATTTGTCCAATCCCACTTTACATTATTCTTTAAATGACGGTATAGAGGGGAACATTTTACGTGTAAATTCTCGATAAACCTACCGTAATAGGTTATGGTACCTAGGAAGGAACGCAGCTGTGTGGTACTCACTGGTAATGGCATTTGTTTTATTGCTTCAATGCGATCTTCGGTTGGATGCAAGCCATTTTCATCGATTTTGTGGCCTAAATAGGTGACGCTACTTCTTAGCCAGTCACAATTTGATTATGAGTTTTTATACCAGATGCTTGAAGGCGACGTAAAACTTCCCTCAGTCGTTTCAAACTTAAGGCAAATTTTGGGGCCGTTATTTTTTTTTGCTACACCCTAACCCGTCTGTAGTCTGGCAGTACTGCAGCCTGTGGCTTATTGTACCACCATTTGAAGGTCCTACTACTTTCCCATTCACACCCTTATTCATTATCATTCATTCCACGTCGTCGATGGTTAAACGCTAGTCAGATGAATCCTATGGTGACACGGCCCATGGTGGAACCTCCCAGCGGTCACCCATCCACGACGTGACCGGAGAGATCACTGCTTAACTGTTGCGAGTAAGTGGATGCACACTAAGCTCGCGGCTAGCCTCTCCGGGCCGTTATTAAGATGTCGTCGAGGTAGCAGACAACACCTTCTATGCCTGATAGTATTTGATCCATTGTACGTTGGAAAAGTGACGGAGCAAAACTGATTCCAAATGGCAAGCGTCTGTAGCAAGCCTTTATGAGTAGCATCCTTAAGATCCTTAAGATCGATTTTTAAAAAATGTTTTCCCCCAGAAAGTTTTGCAGCGATGTCTTTAAAACGTGGTAATAGATAATTATCGATCTGTACATACTTATTTATGGTTACCTTAAAATCGGCACAAATTCTTAGCTTGCCGTTTGATTTCACGGCAACAACGATAGGTGAAGCCCATGAAATCGGTGTGTTAGTTGTGTCTACTGACTCTATGACACCCTCTTGGACTAATCTATCAAGTTCTGTCTCCACGTGGTCCTGTAATGCTAGAGGTACGCTTCTAGGACGAAATCATTTTGGAATGGCGTCATCATTTATGTGTATTTTTGCTTGGTGGCCTTTAATTGTACCCAAGCAATCTTCAAAAATATCAGGAAAGTCACATAACACGTCGTCAATTATAGTTTTCTCAGTCGGTACAACATGTCCATATTATTTGAATTTATGCGAACCGACATTATCTTGCTGGCCGCGCCGATTTTTCTAACATTCATTCGCGCCGCGACACGGTTTTATCTTCACATACACTGCTATCGTTGTCTGAGGAATGTTCACTTTCCTCATCGATTTCGCATTCAACGCGGCGCGTAGAAAATTTCGATTTTCCCCCGTAATTCAGTTTTTTTTTTGGAAAATCGATTTATCGTAGAATCGGCTTCTTAATTAGGCAATTATTTTCGAATAATCGATTATTTTTGATATTTCAAAGATAATCGAATAATCAATTTTAAAGGAAATAAGGAAAATAGATTATCTAATATATTCGATAATTCGTTTATTATTTTTTGGAAACACCGATTTATAGGATAATCAGTTTTTTAATTAATCGATTATTTTCGATTTTTTAAAGATAACAAAATAATCGATTTTAAAGGAAATAAAAAAATAGATAGTTTGAAAATAATCGATTATTTGAAAATAATCGATAATTCAGTTATTTATTTTGGAAAATTGATTTGTGGTAAAATCGGCTTCTTAATTAATCGATAATTTTCGATTAATCGATTATTTTAGATTAAACGAATATTTTCGAATAATTTATTATTTTTGATATTTCAAAGATAATCAAATAATCGATTTTAAAGCAAATGAGAACTAAAATAATCGAGTATTTAATATACCTATTCGTTAATTCGTTTATTATTTTTTTGAAAACACCGATTTATAGGTTAATCAGTTTTTTAATTAATCGATTATTTACGTTTTTTCAAAGATAATCAAATAATCGATTTTAAAGGAAATATAAAAATAGATTGTTTGAAAAACAAATCAGGACGCTACGTTTAGTATTTGTATTAGTACTTTGTTTTTAACTGTGGTCATATTCGAGTGTATTTTAAGGCGATTAGAATAAAA